GAGAGGTACCCGATATACGTTCTCCAGGTCTTTTAGAAAATGTGGAATGGTTCCTTTGGCAACACACGTGTGTTGGAATTTATTGTACAAGAAAGATGATATTGCAGACATCAAGGGAATGGGTACTGTTCAAGAAGAAATGCTCCACAGATGTTATCATGGCAAAACTGGATGAGTTTATAATGTTACCGAGCGTGCTGTTGGTATCATTGTAAACAAACAACTTAAGGGTAAGATTTTTTTTTTTTTTTTTTAAGAATTATTTTATTTTGGGGCTGGCAGATGGCATGTATGGGGCCGGCAGGTGGTGCGGTGGTTAAGGCGCTGGATTCGAGTCTTGGACCTGGCGTCTTGCTTTCTCACTTTTCCTCTCTCTCACTCTGTCCCTCTCTGGTCAAATTAAAATAAAATATTATTTTATTTCTTATTCTTGACCAGAGAGAGAGAGAAAGTGAGAAAGCAAGCCGCCAGGTCCGGGACTCAAACCACAGTCAGCCATGTGGGAGTCCAGTACCCTTAACCACTATACTACCTGCAGGGCCCCAAGGACAAGATTCTTGTCAAGAGAATTAATGTGTGTATTAAGTGTATGAAGTATTTCTTAATCCTTTTGTTTTAAAGGAATTATTTTTATTGAACTTTATTTTATTTATTTATTTTTAATTTGACCAGAGAGGGACAGAGAGAGAGAAAGAGAAAGTGAGAAAGCAAGTCACTGGGTCCAGGACTCAAACCGCAGTCAAACATGTGAGAGTCCCACACTCTTAACCACCACGCCACCTGCCGGCCCTGAGCATATTAAGCATTTTAAGAGCAGAGATAACTTTCTAAAAACATATGAAGGAAAATGACCAGAAAAAGAAGGATGTCAAAAAGAAAGGTACCTGGGAACCAGCAGTTAGCGTAATGGCTATGTCGCTGGACTCCCACGTAGTCGACCGCGGTTCGTGTCTCGGACCCGGTGGCTTAAAACTCACGCCGGGCACGTGTGCGTGCGTGCCCAAGATCCCGAGAGGAGAATGGAGGAGAAGGGATTGTGGCATGACCATCCCCCCTGGGGGGTGATTTCTCGCTTTCTGTCTCTATGTCTCTCTCTGTCTGTCTGGCGAGCGCACGCGCCCTACAGTGAAAATCTCTCTCCAAAAAAAAAAAAAAAAAACGAACAAAAAGAAAGGTACCTGAGTTCAAATGAAGGTGCTAGCCTGCTCCACCCAGGAAAACATACTTCGTGAGTTTTAAGTCACCAGGTCTGGGACTTGAACTGTCGTCAATTACATGGGAGTCCATCGATGTAACCATTCTGCCATCTGCTGATCGGGAAGCACACTTTGTGAGAATCAATGGAAAGGAGCCTGAGCTTCTGAAATCTATTTCCTATAAATTCATGGCATGATAGGTGTTAAAAATAAACTAAACTAAAAGTTTCAATATACAAGATGATTGTAATGATTAATACTACTATGTGTCAAGCACTTTTTTAAAAAAATAGGTTTTTGCCTTAGGGCACATATGCTTACCGGGGAGAGAGAGAGAGAGACAGTTAGAGGGAAAGTGAGAAATCACCCCCCCAGGGGATGACCACACTGCAGTCCCTTCTCCTCTATTCTCCTACTGGGATCTTGAGCACACACGCACACGCGCCTGATGTGATTTTTAAGTCATCAGGTCCAGGACTCATATCACAGCTGGTCATGTGGGAAGTCAGCAATATAACCACTATTCCATCTACTGGTCCCAAAAAAAGCACTTTTTTTTTTCTAGAATTATTTAATTTAACTTTATTTATTTATTTATTTATTTATTTATTTTAATTTGACCAGAGAGTGACAGAGCAAGAAAGAGAGAGTGCGGGAGAGAGAGACAGAAAGTGAGGAAGCAAGCCTCCAGGTCCAGGAGTCACACCATGGTCATCCATGTGGGTCCAGTACCCTTAACCACCACACCACCTGCCATCTCTTAAAGTTTTTTTTTTTTTAAGAGAGATTTTTGCCATAGGGTGCGTGTGCATGCCAGACAGACAGAGAGAGACATAGAGACAGAAAGCGAGAAATCACCCCCCAGGGGGGATGGTCACACCGCAATCCCTTCTCCTCCATTCTCCTCTCGGGATCTTGGACACGCACGCACATGCGCCCAGTGTGAGTTCAAGCCACCAGGTCCGGGACTTGAACTGCGGTTGACTACGTGGGAGTCCAGCGACATAGTCATTAAGCTAACTGCCGGCCCAAGTTTTTTTTTTTTTAAGAGAGATTTTTGCCATAGGGTGCGTGTGCATGCCAGACAGACAGAGAGAGACAGAGAGACAGAAAAGGA